TTGTTCTCACTGGCAATGATACACATTGAATTGATGAGTTGAAATAGTTTCTACAACAACACTTTCAAACTAAAGATCTAGGAAGCTTGAAGTACTTTCTTGGAATTGAGGTAGCTCGGTCGAAGTGGGGAATCTCTCTGTCCCAAAGAAAGTATGTTTTAGATGTGTTGAATGAAACTGGGTTGTCAGGATCCAAGCCAGTTGAAACTCCCATGGACCCCAATGTGAAGATGACTGATAGTCAGGGAGAGCCATTAGAAGACCCTATAAGGTATCAGAGACTAGTAGGCAAGTTGATCCATCTTACCATCACTAGGCCTGACATCTCCTTTAGGACCCCAAATAGGCACTATTTGGCACTATTAAACTAGGCACTATTAAACTAAAATATTCATTTTGTGTGTTTATATACTAATTTCTTTTTATTATTTTCTTATTTGTTAAGATTTAATCAATACAAACATTGCTAAGTGCTGTATTGAACCCTCAAAGACTTTAAAACCTGAACCAATAAGTAAGGAAGAACTTAAAATTTTGTCTAATCAACACATTTTCTATACTTTAACATGAACTCTATACTTTTCTTATGAAAATTATGAGTAATTATTAAGGAAATATGGCTATGGTACCTAGGGAACTACCCTAGGATCTATGTTTTCTATATAAAAAAACCATCGCCTAGGCGACTAGGTGACAAGGCACCCCCCTAATGCCCAACATCGCCTTGGTGCCTTGAAAACTATGCCCCTTCACTTGTTATTTATAATAAAAAATAAGAGTACAAAGACTACTATGCCCTTATAGGGCAGTAAAAACATAAAACAACATGTATAGAACTGAAAAACATAATAAAATTTGGACTCACATAACCATTGTGGTCCCCACTACCTATTTAACAACTAACATAACACAACTATTCTAAAAACAACGCAAAACTGACTAATCTTCAACACTCCCCCTCAAGTTGGGAGTAAATGTCACACATTCCCAACTTGCATAGATCATGTTCATGTTTGTTCTTTGCAATCCCTTTAGTGAGAACATCAGCCAATTGCAACTCTGAAGAGACATAAGGCAAGCAAACTTCTCCGGTTGTTACCCTCTCCCTTATTAAGTGCCTATCGACTTCAATGTGTTTTGTCTTGTTATGCTGGATTGGATTGTGGGCAATGTTGAATGCAGCCTGATTGTCACAATACAACATCATAGGTTCCTTTGCTCTCACCCCAATCTAGCTCAATAGGGATCTAACCCAAAGTAGTTCTGAGACACCATGAGCCATGGATCTATACTCAACCTCTGCACTTGACCTAGCCACAACCACTTGTTTCTTGCTCTTCCATGAGATCAAGTTTCCACCTACAAAGGTACATACTCCTGAAGTAAATCTCCTGTCCTCTAAACACCTTGCCCAGTCTGCATCTGTATAGGATTCCAGTTTCAAATTTTCATAATTTGAAAAAAGAATGCCTCTGCTGGGGTCCAAAAAACTAACCACCCCCTACAGAAGAATAAAAGAAATCAAACGATACTTGTGCGCCCAAGATCAGATCAAAAACAAAGAATCCAGCTTTTCTAGGACTCTTCCCCATACTCCAATTCCTCCTGATTTTGATGCCAAAACGAAGATCACATTCCTGATGACTTGATCTCACCAAAAGATCCAAGAACTGGGCAATCAATAGCAGATCGATCAACCTCTTCTTACTTCATGCAATTGGCCGATCTAGGGCTGCATGAGAATGCTTCAAGAACCCTAGTCCTTGCTCTAATAACAAGTAGAAATCTGTTGGATTTAAAAGTATAAAAGAAAAGTGTGTTTTCTTGGAGAGAGAAGAAAGAGAGAGGAAAAAGAAGAGAAGAAGAACTCTTGAGAAGGAAAGCAATCATCTGGCCGCCCCCTTCACTTGTTATTTATAATAAAAAATAAGAGGAGTACAAAGACTACTATGCCCTTATAGGGCGGAAAAAACATAAAACAGCATGTGTAGAACTGAAAAACATAATAAATTTGGAATTGCATAACTATTGTGGTCCCCACTACCTATCTAACAAATAACATAACACAACTATTCTAAAAACAACACAAAACTGACTAATCTTCAACAAAGTTGATTGCCTTTTTGTGAGAGAAAAAGTAACAAGTGGAGAGGTTGTTACTCCCTATGTTAAATCTGAAGACCAAGTAGCTGATATTTTTACTATAAGTGTGGGTTGCTCAAGGATGGGCTATATTTGTAACAAGCTGGAACTTTTATGATATATATGCTCCTGCTTGAGGGGGAGTGTTAAAATTGTTAGAAGTAGTTAATAGGGGCAGTATTGTCTTTTTCATGTTATTCTTTCTCTCTTATATCTGTTGTAACTTTCCTAAGGGTATTGTAGTCATTTCAGCCTTAGTAGAATGTTAATACAACCTGGGTCGACAGTAAGGAGATGTGAATAGATTTCTCCTTTCTAGTCTTCCCTCTTTTCTTCTCTTTCCCTTCCCTTTCTCTTCCTATCTTCTCCTTTCTTCTATCCCTTTCTTCACCTTTTCTTACTTTATTAAAGTTGGAACAATAACAAGCTGGGATTATATTACATATATTCACCAGCTTGAGGGGGAGTGTTAGAGCCAACAGTCCAGGGGTACTTAAGTCATTTCATAATGTTTTATTTAAAGGTGTTTTGTCTATTATCTCTGATGTTAAGTAGGGTGTCCCATACATAAAAGAGAGGCAAAAAGGTATATATATATATAAAATCTGTATCTTGAGGACAGTATGGTTCTTTTATCTTTTAATATAAATATTATTTTCTGGGTGTGGGCTGTCACTTTTGACACACCCATACAGTCTTCTTTCTCTCTTGATCACTTCTATTCAAACCTTCTCTAACAGAAACAAGATTCATGTAGCCAACCTCATATAATTGGGAATCTTGGGATGAGGCTAGGATGATGATGATGATGATGGGCATATTATTTGGTTGGAATTCTTCATCTGGTTGAGGTTCACTAAAAATTGCATGCCAAGGCTGAATTACTTGAGACACACAAACTGGTAGTCTCCAATCCATTTTAAAGATAGAATTACAAAAGAAAAAGATAGAAAATAAAAGAAAGAAAAGAAAATTTCCAAATCTTCTTAGGTACATTGCAAGTTGAGTATGGATGATCTGTGGTCTCTTTCTCCCGATACAATACACATTTGCTTTCTATGTTGATGATCATTGGTTTTAGTGAGCATGAATAAATATCTTCCTTGGTACCACCAACCAAGCAAAGGCTTGAACTCTAGTTTTTATTTAACAGTTGGATAATGAATTCTTTTTTTTTATGAATGATAATAAATTTATTAATTCAGAAGCAGATTTAGAGTGAGTTCATACAACATCCCAGGGAGAGGCACGAGCTGCCCCTCCTTGAATCTTACAAGTAAACTAGGAAAGAAAAGCAAGAATCACAACTGAGCCCAAAAACAATTCTTCCCTATTTACCCCTTGCTTAGCTAACACATCTGACAAAGTATTTGCTGATCTCCCCAACCATTGTACAGTGACCAACATATTCCTTGTCAACTGACTAAATTTCTTCATTTCATTCTTGTAACGCCACATAGCCTCTTTAGGATTTTCCAACCAACCCACCACCACTTTGGAATCCCCCTCGATTGTTAGGTGTTGTACCCCCAGCTGGTTTGCAAATTGCACCCCTTGTACAGTAGCTAAAAGTTCTGCTTGATGGAGTCCCCAATTCCCAAGGGACCCGAGTAGAGAAACAAAATCTCTCCCTTCTCATTTCTCAAAGCACCCCCCGTTCCGGATAATCCTGGATTACCCATGCTACTTCCATCAAAGTTCAACTTCAGTGAGCCTTCGGATGGAGGAGACCAACTTGTAATTGATTTGTCCTTTAGGGATGAACACCTCRCTACTGCTGACMAATTTCTCCAAAGGTCATTAAAGGAGAATTGATGAAAGATTTTCAAGGTCTTCAGCCAAGGTATTGCCCTATTTAACACGCAGTCTTTCCTAACTGCTCCTTTCCTTTTCTTGAAAAATTCTAACATTCCTTTCTTCCCAAAGAGTCCAAATCAAGGCAGCACGATTACATCTCCACATAATTCTCCCTATTTTTGTAGGCCAATAAAAGGTAGAATGGTTGAAGAGCATGTGAACTTCTGTTGGTAGACTCCAACTACTCCCAAACAACGAAAGTAGCCTGCAGAAGAGGGACAAGATATTAATAGGTGGTAACAATCTTCACCGTGAGCTCTACAGAGGATACACCAGTTAGGAAAAATACAGAGGAAAGGTCTTCTCTTTCGTAGGTTATCTAGAGTGTTTACTTTCCCATGGAATACTTCCCAACAAAACGCCATAATTTTTTTGGGAACTGGCCTGCACCAACTTTCCTTTGACGGAAAGGGTTGATGAGTAGAGAGTTGAGAGATGGACTTGAAGAAAGAAGCACAAGTGAAGGTTCCATTGGGTCTAGGAGTCCAWACCCTCTTATCTGGCTTGGAGGATCCAAACAAACCTGATTAAGACAACCAAGCAAGACGGAAAGAGATTCAATTTCATCATCCCTAATGAATTCTTTTCATATGATATTTCTTTTCTTTTGCTAGGGTTTAGATGAACTAGAGTGAAGATACTTCATATTGTGAATTTTAAATGATATTAGATTATTCCTTCTAGTATGTTCTCCAGATACCTTCTACTTACTATTAATTGCAATTTGTCTATTTGTTTTTTTTTCCACTAGCACTAATGACCTAAGACCATTACACATTGTTGGTTCCAATCATCTGGGATCTTGGAAGGGGTAGACTGGATAAAATCCTAATTTTGTTTTTGTTTTTATTTATTTATTTTTTTTTTGCACAAAGTTGCTGCCATCCTGCACTCTCATGTTTGCCATCCCATGATTTTAGAATTACACCAAGTAATGGCCCCTACTGTTTTTTATTCTCACTAGGAACTTTCTCCTGTAACTGCATAAAACTCTATTGCAGATTTGCAGAGCTCAAAGAACTACATGGAATTGAAGATGAGAAGCCATTGGCTGCTGCTGGAGGCCCCCAAAAAATGGCTTCTGGGCTTCTCTGTATGAACCTATGATTATCAAGATTCTCTTTTCTATATGAATCTAAAAGTATCAATTTCTTTTCTTCAGGGTTGACATTTTTCATAATTTTGTTGCTTCGTTATGCAGCTGTCACTCTGAAGTGTGTCGGAGCATCTATTGGAGAAAAGCAATCTCTTTCAAAGAAATTACCTGCCACCACAACGGTGATTGTCTAATTTCAATCCCTAAACTCTCCTTTCTGTTTTACTGGGGTTTTCTACCAAAAAACTGAATCCAAATTTTACATAAAACTATTTTAGGTTGGGAGGCTAAAGGTTCTGTGTGAGAGCTTCTTTCATTTGAAGTCCATCAAGATGAAATTGTTTCTTCAAGAAGAGGTAAGTGCTTCATTTACTTCTGATAAATTTGAATGTCTGCAAATAAAATGGTCCACAAAATTAGATTAGTCCATTATTCTGTTTGATTAAAATGTTAGTTAATTTTAGCTGGAAATCATACGATTTGTTCAAATGAATTAAGATGTGTAATCTTTGTTCTGTATCTTTCATTAGACTGTCATCATCATAATTGGTAGAAATGCCTACTAACTGCTTTGTGTCAGGTGATCAAAGTTATTGTGGGCGTCCACTCCATATACTACCATACCTAATATATTCTTATAACAAATAGAGAAGGGAAAGGGTGTATTGTCATGCCCTCTGCATGTAGGAAATGGAATCATAGTAACTTGGCTTCATATTTGCTGGTTAAACCTTTGGCATTTACAATCGTGCCATTACTCGAATCTCCGGTGATGTGTGGCCCTCTCGTCCCTTCCCTCTGCATGCAGTAAATGGAATCACACAGTAACCGTGTTAAGTATTTGGTGCTGACAGTGGTGCAAATTACCCAATGCTGTGTTTGGTTTGTGGGAAGATTTTGGTAGGATGGGAAAGGGGAAATGGATGGAAATTTTCATGTTCCATTTTTTGGATGCAAAAGGAAAAGTAGTGGGAAAATCAACTCTAGTAACAATTCTTAATTAATTAATTAGTAATATTTTTATTAATTTATATTTTACTATTATTATTTATTAATATTTTTATGAAATAATTTTATAATTAATTAATATTGATAATTATCTAACTAATTATTAATTAATAAAATATTTTAAAATTTATTTTATTAATATTTACTATGAATTAATTAATAATTTTATTTTTACTATTATTTTTTTATTTTATTGAATCATGAATTAGATTAATAATAAAATCCTTATTTATTCATTCATTAATTACTTAGTTAATTAATTATTAACTATTTTTTGTTAATTATTAATTAGTTAATAATACTTTTTTATTATTTAGTATTTTATTATTAATTAGATATTAATTATTTTAATTAATTAGTTAATATTTATTATTTATTAGATATTAATCATTTTAATTAATTAGTTAATACTACAAGGAAGGTGGTTTTTTGTTATATAAGATCACCCCTACATTACCACTTGTTTCCCACCAAAATGGTGGGACTCCACATCCCAATATTTGGGATCTATAATTCCACCTTTTTCCCATCCCATCTCATGACATCCCACAAACCAAACATGGGAAGGGAGGAATATTCCATATTTTCCCTTCCCATCCCACAAACCAAACGAAGCCTAAGTTATTCTCTTACTAATCACTTGTTTCTAGCCTCTGCCACATCTAAAACCTTGAACTTGTACCATTATGCTTCTCCGTGCAATGATCTGCATTGAAAATGGCCTGGCTATCGTGGTACATTCTAGTTAAATTTCTAAGACTTTTTCAGTTATTAGAATTATGGATACTAGCATAACAGGCTTGGCCCTTACCAGAGCCCTGAAATCACAAAAGGACAAAACATAACACCCCATGACCCCCCTTATTTGCAAATACACATAAACAAAAATGTAAGAAAGGAAAAAAGCCTTTTTTTATGTTATTTCTTGTGATTGAACTTCTCTATGATGCATTTTAGGGATTGAAATTATCTTCTCCAAGCTTCATTGCACCTTTCTACATGTATATCATAACTATGGTCCAAGAACAATATGCCTATAATTTGGTTTCAATCATCATCATCATCATCTTTGCGGATGACATTGTTTTAATTGATGAAACTAATGAAGGATTAAATGCAAAATTAAGCTTATAGACATATGCCTTAGAAAGTAGAGGTTTTAAAATAAGCAGGACTAAAACAAAGTATATGACATTTAGTAATAATAGGAGTGTCAATCAAGATACACTTATGATTGGGGTTGGTTCAATAATTCATAACAAGGAAGGGATTGAGGAGGATGTCACCCAAAGAATTAGAGCAAGATGGGAAAAATGGAGTGGTGCATATGGACTTTTATGTGAACTGAGGTAGACACATGAAATGCAGAAGCACTTTTACCTGTTGTAGATGCAAAGGAGGTAGAAGGGGTAGGGGCCAACCTATTCATCTTCCCAAGGATCCTACCATACAATTCCAAGTCATCTCTGAAGGAGTTAAGTCTTCCTTAGGGTCAAATCCAACAAAGTGCTCTTGGGAAGTACCAATAGTTGAGTTATTAGATTGAGAATCTTGGGTATCCAGATATGCAAAGGTAAACTTCTTATGAGCAGGATTCTTTGAGCTATCTTGATTCTTGGTGGCCCACTTGGGCTTCCCAATTAATTCCCAACAAGTCTCTCAGGTGTGTTAGACCTTTGACAACGTGTACTCCATAGTTTGTCCTTGTCATCACCTTTCCTTAAGTCACTCTTCTTCACTCCAATGTTGCCCCCTAAAAAAGGAAAAACTCATTGTTGGGAGACAAGTTTCTTGTAGGTTTTAGCATCTTCATCATGCTTCCACACAATGGTCTGATATAATCTAGTTCCTTCCAGACAAAGGTAAGAGCTGAATAGTACATAGATAAGCTACAGTCCCCTTGCTTACAGGTAGATAACTCTGCTTGAAGTTGGTAGATCTTAGTATAATGTCTCTGTTCCAAGTAGGTTGACTTGGCTTGTTCCCAGACCTCACAAGCCATATCAGCCCATATGAAAATTTTCTTTACATGGGATAGCATGGAACCCAATAGCCAAGACATTACCATACTGTTCTCTTGATCCTACCTATCATATTCGGTTCTACCAGATTTTGGTTCTTTAATTTTCCCATTTATGTAACCAGCTTTTCTCTTAACTCTGACATACAACTTAATTCTCTTGGACCACTCCAGATAGTTCATTCCATCAAAGGGAGTGATAGTCATAAAAAAATTTATGCTGTCCATCCCTCCATTAATCAAATGATTTTTCTGCTGGTTTCTCAAAGAAAAAGAAGGTTCTACACCCCTACACCACAGTTACAAAGCTGTGATAGTCCAAACCAGCCACATCGAAAGGAGGACAGCACACCCAATGAGGGAAAGGCAGTGCTTTAGCCAAACTTCATCAAAAGAAACCCTAAAGGAAGCAAACACAGCAAAACTGGAGGTCTGTAAACCCTAGCCAAATAGACAGAAGGACATTAAACTTCATAACAAGGAGATAACAAACTCCCACAACTCCAAACTGTAACATTCACAGCTTACTGCACATTTATAGCTTGAATGTAACAGTACATACCTGGAGTATAAAAAGGATCCCACGATCACAGTCCAAAAAGGGAAGGGAACACCTCAAAGATGCTAATCACTGCATTTGGCTGTCACCACAAGTACCACAGCACCTCTTCTTGGTGCAATGACCAAGAGAGAAGAAAATAAAAAGGTGGAAAGAGTGTCTAGATCAGTTCGATAGAGTTTTGTCTCCCCTTCCAGTCAAAAAAGGTGAGTTTCAGTTGAGAAATCTCGATCGGAAATACTTTAGCCCAGATCAATGCTCTGATACCATGTAATCCGGCAAAGAAAAAAGAAGAGAAAGGAAGAGGGAAGAGATGTGAAAAAAAGGCTCAAAAAAAAAACTTTAGCTGGTGGCGCCTAAATTGCTATTTATACTTAGGTCGACTGCATACAATAAAAAGGAAAAGAAAATGACTGAAATACCCTTGCGACAATGTATTAACAGATTACAACAAGACTTTTGATACGAATGTCATTTTGGAGTTAGAAAGGATTAACAAGCAATTTAAAGATTTGAATGATTTCAAGAAAATTCCTCTTGCAAGAGATGATAGAGAGGTTCCCATTTGAATTGCCAGAAGAGATGAGTGTTGGAGCAGAGTATATTTGGATTGTTAAGCTGATTGCTAGTATTGTCAGGAGGTAAGTCTTCTGGGTATTTGTTAGGGTTTGATTACTATTCTTTTAGGACGGATTTTTTTGTCTCATTTTGAGTGATTGGGTGGAATTTGAAAATATTATTATTATTTTTTGGTTTGTGGGGGATTGAATGTAAGTTTGTGTTTTTTGTTGTTTTGGTGAGTTTGTGTTCGTGGTGGGCTCTTCCTGTTTGATTGGGCTTTTGGGCTGGTGTTGTGGTTGGAAATAGTTTTATTTTTTCTTTTTTCTCTTGGGTGACTTCCGGTCACCTTCCTTGTAACTTGTTTTCCTTCTAATAAATTTTATTTTATTGCCAAAAAAAAACATTATATGCATAGTTAATAGATGGCCTATACCTTCCAAGGTGAAAACAGAAGCCTAACATTGTGCATAACATGCTAATGCAAATTTGAAAGTGTGAACCGCCCCATAACAATTAAATTTCCAACCACCAAGTAATTCTGTTCTATATTAGTATGGATCATTTTTCAACCTGTCATCTGATTGGTCAGACTAGTGACCCAGTTACTAAATCATGCGTTTGCAGTTCTGAGTAATAAATAAAAAATATACTTGTTAAATTATTTATCAACCCAGAACCATTAACCCATTTGACATAGCCACCAGATTGCTGGGTTCTTTTTTCTTTTTTTACTTTTTGAAATTTTTTATTGTTCTGATGTTATGGGTTAACCCAGTGAACGAGATGGTTAAACCAGTGACCTATCCACCTAGGGGGAAAGCGGTTCAGCCTCTAGGCTGGTTTTAAAACATTGGTATGGATCTGATATCATTGATGCAATAAACCTGGCTTAAGTCCTAAGGCAAGTGCAGCCCACGATGATTACATTAGGCAGACAGATTGCATTAAACTTTTGCCAAGACCTTACAAAAAAAAATCCTTTCTTAACTTGTTTCAAGCTCAGCTTTAATGCTTAGTTTCTTTTGCAGTATCTTTTAATCATACTTAAAAAGATGGTGGGCCATGTATGATTTAACAGAGTAAAAGATATTATGGTTCAATTTCTCATATTCTGTATTGCAGGGTTCCCCCTTGCCACTGTTGCTTGATGATGAAATGGCTTCACTGATGGACTTTGGAGTTGGCAGTGAAGCAACAATTCTGGTGGACGAAGAGAGTTAATCACTTGAATCTGGATTATTTGTTTTGTGTATGCTTACGTGGAAGTGATTGGCTTGGGTGTTTTCTGGTTGTAGATTCTGTTACAGTTCAGGTTATGGCTATCACTCAACTCTAGATACCTAGGGATGGGTTTATAGGCCATTCATGTTTTTAAAGGGCCATTGGTTGGTGTAATAGTTATACCTTGGGCAGACAAGCATGAAAACATGAGCTCAGAGCGACGACTTTGTGCAAAAACTGCCAAAGGTGAGGTAATGTCCAGTCAAGACCCTGGATGGGGCCAACATCATATAATGGCCCTTCACATGATTCATGTATTTGATGGATACTTAGAAAATGCATTGGAGTAGATTTCACTTTGAGAATATAATTTTGCTGTGCTGATGGATGAGACTCTGCAGAAGAGTGTGCAAACTATGCATTCAATTTATATCCATTGGGTTTCCTTGAGTTTGAATGAAACATGAGGAAGGAATTCAGTTCTTCCATTGCAGCAATAAAGAGCATACAAATTTCTCACTCTTATTCTCTTTTATGCAAAATTCCTCCACCCCCACCCCCATATTAACTACCATCAATTCTTCAACCTGTGATACATTCCTGCTCTTCTCACCAGCTTTGCCAGCCTGATTTCACACAGGATAACTACATACTGCTCTTCAAGGATATTGGTGGATACGCTGGCTACGTTGATGTCTTATTCTTGTGCCCCCCACCCGCCCTCCCGCGACCCTTAAGCTAAACCTGATCTACACAAATAGGGATGCAAACAGATCGGATCGGATTCGAATCAGGGTATATCTGAATTCAATCCGATACTGTTCATGTCGGATCCAATCTGATCTGAAGATCCGATCGGATCTGATAGGCCTCGGTTTGAATTTAAATCTTATCAGTAAGTTGGATCTTTTGATCTGATTCGATCCGATTTGTTTTCTTTAAAAATTAATAAATTATTAAAAGAAAAATAATATATACCAATTTTAATAAAGAAAAAAAACAAAAAATACAAGTATTTTTTAAATTATTTTCATCATATATATACATTTTTTATAAAAAATAAATAATATATTTATAAATATATAACATATATTGGATCTTCTTGTATTAGATAGGGGTGATTTGAATTCGAATCTGAACATGGGTGATCTGAATTTGACCAAATACACAAACACATGAAACCTGCCTATACCACATTTAGGGTTGACCATGGGTTGCGCCCGGGCTGGCCTAGAACCTATGATAAGATTAGATTGGCGCCCCACAAGTGCCTCGTAGCACCTTCCACCTGTGTGTTGGAATATCCCCCCATGGTAAGTACAGAAGATGTTCCCAATGCACGGTGAGATGTGCATGTGGGGCGCTTGTGGGGTGCCGATTTGATCTCTATCATAAGGTCTATATACAGTGATCTGGGCTGGGCAAGGGTTAGCCTAGAACCTATGGTGAGGGCTATGCCCCAGACCAGGCCTGAAATGGTGACCCCTAATTTCATGGCACAAACAATATTAATACATCCCGATCGAGTTTGCTCCTGTCATCACTCACAGAACCTATCTTGGCATTTGGCACAGGTAGTGGGTTGCAATACCTCCTGTTCTTCATGGACCACACTAGCAAACTTGCTTACATCCAACAATAAATCCAGGATCCACAATTTCAAACTTGAGCTCGCACATGGCTCTACTTCAGCATCCAACTATTTGGTTTCTCGATCAGATGACTTAGCCCAAAGTAGGATCCATTGTCAGCTGCAAATACCATACTGGATGTCCTCATTGCTACTGGCAGAGCATGCTTCTCAGTTTTGAGAAGCGTTTGGAAGATTCAAGTTTATCCTCCAATCCCTCTGGCAAGTTTTTATTTGTTCTTTAAGGCTGTGTTTGGAAATGATACAAATAAGTGTGAATGTAAATATGTAGAGTGTAAAACGGTTCATATAAATTGTAAAATTGGATTAGTTTTGCACTGACAAATTTACCTTCTTACCAAACAGACTTTAGCTGTAATGGGTGCAAACATGAATTCCAATAAAGTATATGTGTTTTTTTTTTTATCAAAAGCCTACTTGAATGCAAATTTACTTCTTTTTTATAGACGTACTTTTACATGTTATTATCAATGTAAATATGCATTGGTCTGTCATTTATCAATGCATAAATATAATGTTGCCAAACACAAACAAAATTAAACTACAGTGTAAATTTACCCTGAACCAGGATTTACACTCTATTTGCATTGTTTCCAAACGCAGCTTTAAATCCATAGCAAGAAACGTTGGAAGAGTATTGAAAAGCCCCGTTGGCGACAAAGCATTGTACCTCTGCCAAAGAGGCTTGAGTTTGTGTAGATTTTGACATAACCAAGCCGAGGCCAGACAAAATCTGGATTGCTTTACGCAAACAAAGGTGGCTTTTTTCAAAAAGTTATTTATGAGAATATTCATGCGTTTTCAAAATGAAGTGTGGGATTGCCTAGTTGATTCTGTTGCTAACTGTAATCAGTCGTGGCTTGTTGGAGATGATTTTAAACGTCATGACAAACTCAAGTGAATGCATAAGTAGGAGAAATTCTACAAATTTCAGTTTGGTGCCTATGCAAGAGTTTTGCAATATGACCGATGCAGCGGGTCTTGTGGATTTGGGTTTCCGTAGTTCATATCAAGGTTTTTAAAACGAACGGACAACGAACCAGTCAGGGGTCCGGTTCTTAGATCAAATGGTCTGATCGTTCAAATCGAACGGATGGCCCGTTTTGACAAAAAATAAAAAATGGTCAAAACTATTGAACGGTTTATTGACCAAATCAACGTTTATAGCAAAATTCCGGTTTTGGGGAAAAATGGAACTGGTCACCTGACTGGTTTCCGGTTTTTCCGGTCTGGTCCAATTTAAAAAACCATGGTTCAAATTATACTTGGTCCAGTAGTACTTCTTAAACTAGACTTCATAGACTTTTGGTCATGGTTTTCAAAACCGGACCGGACCATAGTCGGACTGGAAAACCGGGAACCAGCATCCATTTTCCCCAATAATCGGATTTCCCCCCAAAATCGTTGATTTTGGTCAGCGAACCGCTGAATCGGGTGGTTAATCATTCAAATGGTTTTGACCGTTTTTTATTTTTCTGTCAGAATGGGCCGAGTATTCAGTTCAAACAATCGACCGTTTGACCCGGTAACCGGACCCCTGACCGGTTCGGTCACTTAAAAACCATAATTTTGGTTAACTTGGATTACACGAACCAATTTCATGACATGTGGGTGGAGCACTTTAATAGAATCACACCGGACCACTCGCCTTTACTGATTTCTATTAATAATGACTTCTCCACTGGTCCTAAACTGTTTAGGTTCCAAAAAAACGTGGACAACTCACCCCCGACTTTATGAACACTGTACATGACGTTTGGACCACCAGAATACATAGCATAGAGATGTGGAACAAGGATGTTTTCGGTAATGTTTATTCCGATGTTCTTGACGCAGAGCAAGCTGTCCTTGAAGCTGAAAACGCCTTAGCAGAAGATAACTCCCTAGATAACCAGCTGACTCTTTCGAATGCTAGAGATTCACTTGACCAAATTCTCCTCCAAGAAGAGATTTTTCCCTGTCAGAAGTTAAGAAGTTAAGAGATGGCTTCGTGAGGATGACAAAAATTCTCAATTTTTTCATACTTCTATTTATGCCTCTAAGTATTCTACTATTGGAAGTTTGCAAGTTAACAGTGTAGTTATGAATTGTTAGAGAATATCACCCTATTCAAGGGTTTCATCTAACAGCTTAAGCTTTTAGGTTGAATGGTTCTTTGAGATGGTATTAGAGCCACTTTGACCAAGTGATCTAATGTTCAATCATCATTATCCCATTATAATTAATTAAGTTTCAGCACAACGTATGGGTGGGCCTATGCTTGTTCACGCTTCAAGCCCGATGTTTCATGTGAGGGAGCGTGTTAGAGAATATCAACCTATTCAAGGACCTCACCTAACAACTTAAATTTTTAAGTTGAATGGTTCTTTGAGACAGATGACATGAGCATAATTAGATCACATGCTATTCAGTTTTTCAAGAATTTGCTTTCTGGTGAGGAACCTCAGAATCAGATCATGATTTTCTCTTTCAATGTGTTCCTCATTTAACCAGTAAGAAGGAGACTAGTATGCTGTTGTGTGTCCCAGAGGCCAATGGTATTAAATCAATTGTCATTAAACTGTGGCTCTGCTCCTGGTTTTGATGGATATTTTTTCAGTTTTTGCTGGAATATCATAATAGAGGATGTTTTCAAAGCAATCAGAGAAATTTTCATTACAAAGTCTCTCCTCAGGTACTAGACTTCTACTTTCATTGTTCTAATTCCTAAGGTAGAAAACCCAAAGAGTTTTACTGAATTCCGACCAATAGGTTTCTGCAGTTTTTGTTACAAACTCTTTGCAAAAATACTCACTAAGAGACTGAGCCAATTCTTCCTCCAGTTATTTGTGATGAGTATAGAGCCTCTGTGGAAGGTTGTTTTATTGGTGATAGTATCTCTATTGTGGAGGAAATGGTAGGGGAAATTAATAGAAAAATCCAAGGTGATAATGTTATATTTAAAGACTAAAGCCTATGATTGGCTTTGTTGAGAGGTTCGTCAGTGATTTATGGATAGATGTTATCAAGTTGGGAGTGTGTAGTTGTTGGTTCTTTGTGCTTTTAAATGGATCTTCGACAGGTTATTTTAAATCTTCAAGATGTGTAAGATAGGGAGACCCTCTCTCACCTAACCTTTTTATCATTGTTGAGGACGTCTTAAGCAGCGGTCTATCTACCATCCATTTTCTCTTATGGATTTGTTGATTATTACCAAATTCCAAGGGGTGCAATGAGCCTCTCACATAGCCTCTTCGCTAATGACAAAGTTATATTTTTTAGAGGTTTGAGAATTTTAATTGAGTTCCTTAGTGCTTATGAAGAAGTTTAGGGCCAGAAAAATAAATAAAAAAATCTTGTTGCACTGTCTCTAAGGAGTTTAGATCTGTGCCCCACAACATCCCATAGCACATCCCCACCGTGTATTTGGAACATCTTCCGATGATAGATCAGAATTGATGATGTCATCATCAGGAGATATTCCTAATACACGGCAGGAATATGCTGTGGTACGTTGTGGGGTGCCCCTTGTGAGGCGCAGATGTGAACTTGTCTCTAAGAAGGCGCAAATTCAATGAATAAACATGATTTCTCAAATAACGGACTTAAAAAGAAAAGCCCCCAATTACTTATCTTGGAGCCCCTATTGAAGAAGCACTTAACAATATGTGACTTTTAACATGCTTATTGATAGAATCAAAAGAAGACTTTATGGTTGGAAAGTCCAATTTTGTCCTGCATCCACTTCATCTTTGGCTCCACTAGTGTTGTCACCACTAGTGCCCATTAATCATGCATCACAGCCCACTCATTCTATGCA